AAAAAAAAAAAAAAAAAACAAGATTCACCACCGAAAGCCTTCTGATTCGAATCGCAAGTATAGATAAATATTTTATTTAAAGATGATTTGAATAATCTGCATGCAAATTTGACAATCAATTAATACTTTTATTTTTCTGAAATTTTTAATTTTTCACGTGATTTTAGTAGGCTACGAGGCGCTTTCAGAATCTTATTGGTTTTAAAAATGATGCTATCACCAAACAATTTAATTAATTAGGAGCAAATTGATTAATTATTAAAAGTTTCTCGAGTGGAGGAACTTACTTACAAACATCCTTTATCTTAATCTTAGTCTATGACTAATAATTGGAGTTTTCTTAATGTCACATACGGTCAAAAGTGTTGCACGTACAATCTGGTTGAGTGACCTATAGTTGGACTTGTCTCGTCGAGATAGCCGTATCCATAAACTTTCACTCAGTCGGACTTCGTTTACTCGTTCAATTTTTTCGTAGAACATTTGCATATCATTTTTTTAGCTAGTTGTTCTCTGTCCAAGTGTAATTTTTGCATTCTCCATGGTTGGATTTGTCTTCGCAGACAGTTCGTATCGATGAATATTGTTCAATTCAATCAGTGTTGGTTGCTCGTTTAAAACTTGATTGAAAGTTGATCGGGCTGATTTTGGCATCGTCCGACTTCTATTATGATCTTGCAACCTACTGTTGGACTCGTCTCGTCAAGAAAGTTAAAAAATTTTGCAATAAAAGCTTTTTGCGCACTGTTATTGGCTCATGTTCTCCGCCTCGTCTTGGCCTTCGTCCGTAATTGTGAGTTATAAATTTATAATACTACCACATCAACAAATTATTTTGAGATGGTGATTAGTGCAACTTTTTTCAATGAATTAAGTCACATATTAGATTTAGTATCTTTTGTTGAAGGAAAAAAAGGGCACCTTAGCTGTTTTTTTGGCATCAAATTAAAAAGCCCACGTTTTGAAAAATATTTTTGCTTGAAAAAAAAAAAGAAAAGAAAACTCCACACTTTTTAGGGTGAAACAATCTAGACGGATCGACCTGTCTTACTTTATAACAGTAAATAGATATTTGTATTAAAAAATATTACACTTATTATTTATGGTTTTATTTTAACTATATATATCATTTGTGTATGAAAACACGTAAATTTATTAAAATAGTATCATTATCTAATTGTTAGACTTGTTTAACGACAATTCTTCAAAGTGAAATATTCAACATAAAATATATATTATTTTTTTGGTGACAAATATATAACCGAGTCGATTCACCTAACAATTAACCAAACCTTACACACACTAATATGTGTTTTCCTATATAAATACACCCCAAACAACATTTCAATTTCATGCAAACCACCTTAATTTAATCCCCCATTTAATTCCCAAAAAAAAAAAAAACATTTTTGTCAATTTTGTTACCATTTTCCACACACATTCACAATCAAGACTCCACCTTTTTCTCACCCCTTTCTTTTTTACTGCAAAATTTAACGAAAATTAATGGAGACGATAGTGAAATTGGCGTCGGAAAACGGGATATTGATACTGAGCAAGAGCAGCTGCTGCCTGAGCTACGCCGTGCAGATGCTTTTCCAAGAAATCGGGGCGCGGCCGCTGGTGTACGACGTTGACGAGGACCCGCTGCTGGGGAAGGAGATCGAGAGGGCCCTCGTGAGGATGGGCTCCGGCGGACCTCTTCCGGCGGTATTCGTCGGCGGCGAGTTCGTCGGGTCCACCAACGAGGTGATGTCGCTCCACCTGAGCGGCGAGCTCGTGCCCCTCCTCAGGCCTTACCACGAACACTGATTTTTTTTTTTTTCAGTTT